ATCCATTCCTTTTAGGTTTTCGAATTTGGTAGCATATAGGTTTTTAAAGTATTCCCTTATAATGTTCTCTATCTTTCTGGTGTCTGTTGTGATGCTTCTTTCATCTCTGATTTTGTTGATTTGGAAGTGCTCTTTCTTTCTTTTGGTTAAGTGGGCTAGCAGTCTGTCAATTTGTTTGTCTTTTCAAAGAACCGGCTCTTGGAATTGTTGTTTCGTTGTGTTTTTTTTCTTTGCTTCAATTTCATTAACTTCTGCTCTGATTTTCCTTATTTCTTCTTGTCTGCTGGGTTTGGGTTTCATTTGTTGTTGCTTTTCATGCGTCTTGAGTTTCAATATTAAGCCATTTATTTGTTTATTTGTTAAGCCATTTATTGTGTTTCCTATTTTTTTTTTTTGTCTTTTTGAGTCAGGGTCTCCTTGTAGTCCCAGCAGACTTGGGCTCACTATGTAGACCAGGCTGGTCTTGAACTCACAGCGATCCATCTGCCTCTGCCTCCCGAGTGCTGGGACAAAATAGTCATTTCTTTGTGCTCTTTCCGATTTTTTTAATGTAGGCACTTAGAGCTATAAACTTCCCTCTTAGGACAGCTTTTAATATGTCCCAGAGGTTGTGTTGTATGTATTGTCCTTTTCCTTTTCATTAAAGTCTGGGAATTCTTTTATTTTTCTTAATTTCTCCTTTGACCCATTCATCAGATTTTGGAGAAGGTTCCATGGGGTGCTGAGTAGAAAGTATATCCTTTGGTGCTTGGGTGGCTCAGATGTCTGGGTGCTCAGATGTCTCGTAAGTCCATTTGATATATGGTATTGTTCAATTCAGATGTCTCTCTGTTAACACTCTCTACTGTTGACCTATCTAATGGAGACAGTGGGGTATTGAAGTCGCCTACTATAAATGATTTGGCGTTAATCTGGGTCTTAAAGTCCTGTAGTATTGTTTTTATGAAGTTGGGTGCACCAGAGTTTGGTGACTATATGTTCATGATTGTAATATCTTCTTGATTCATTGTTCCTTTGATCAAAATGAAGTGGCCCTCTTTATCTCTTCTGATTAGTTTTAGTTTAGAGTATTTTGTCAGATATTAGAATTGCTATGCCTGCTTTTTTCTTAGTGCCATTTGCTTGGTATATTTTTTTCCATCCTTTCACTTTGAGATAGTGTCTGTCCTTGAAAGTGTCTGTCCTTGAAAGTGCAGACAACAAAAAGATGGGTTTTGTTTCTTAATCCATTCACATAGTCTGTGTCTCTTCACTGGTGAGTTCAGTCCATTAATATTTAAAACTGTGTATTGGTTGCCACCATTTTGATTACTGTTTGAATTCTTAGTCTAATTTTGTGTTTCTACAAGTATAGCTTCATTTAGTTTCTGTTGCCCATACCTCATTCTTTGTATTGAGTCATTCCTTTCTTCAGCTCTTTGTATTGCTCCCAGAACTCTCTGTAGGGCTGGTTTTGTGGACAAGAATTCCTTCAGCCTATTTATGTCATGGAAGATTTTTCTTTACCCTTCAACTGTAATAGACATTTTGCCTGGGTATAGTAATCTGGGTTGGCATCTATGGTCATTTAAAACTGGGAATACTTTGGTCCAGGCTTTTCTGGCTTTCATAGTTTGCACTGAAAAGTCAGCTGTAATCCTAATGGGTTTCCCTTTATTTGTGACTTGTTGTTTCTCTTTTGCAGCTTTCAGTATTGTCTCTTTTTTTTTTTTTTTTTTGTACGTTTAAGTGT